AGTGACTTATTCGCGGTTACACAGCTAATTGGCCACAGAGCTGGGATTAGCACTGAGTTCTTTTACATCAATAGGAGAAGTCGGTTGGGGGTAATGACAGGGCTGCTTCGGTTCCCACTGCTAATGAGGGCTCTTACCCTTGCTTACACAAAGAGAGGAATGACTTCCAGTCACCTTCTGTTATTTCTTTTTTATGTTTCTTAATGACATTCATTAGTCAGCTTCCATTGGCCAGGTGCTCTTAGGTGCTGACAGTTAAAAAATAAAAAGCCACTGCCCCTGTTCTCAGATAACTAAAGGTTTGTTAGGGGAGACCCATGTGAGTAGACAACCTACTTGTGTGAAGAGCTTAACAGGAGGGGTGGGGAATATGGTTTACTGGCCAAGCCATTCTGCCTTAATGGGGAGTGCAGAAGGCTTCACAGGGAGAGAGGGCAGGCTGCAGTTAGGGAACCGAGTTTAAGGATAAAATAATTGCCTTAAAAGCACAGAGATGCACATGTCAAGACACAAGAAACTGTCCTCCCTCAGGCAGAGACCCATGGTCGCAAAGGCATACGGCCGGCCCTCAGCCAAACGGACCCATCATATCAATCGGCACCAAGTGCCCATCAAGGGATTGACTTATATACACCCCTGGAAAGAGATACAATGAGCCCCAACATGTGCTACAAGGAGAATTTCCACAATAGAGTGAGGATTGAGTTTTGGTGAGTGGAAACGGGATGTTTTTAAGCACATTCTAACCAACGGGATGGTCACAAAACAGTCCCCTACACCAGCTGCACAGGCAGCAGTCCCGGGCAGTGACCTGCTGGCTTTATCAAGCAGTAGCTCCTGACGCCGAGAGGCACGCACACTCACTGACGCAGGCTGCAGCTCTGCCGGTGATGGATAGCAAAACAAAGGCAGCACTAATGAAAAATTAATGAAAATGGTTACTTCCATAAGAAAAATGATCTGTTCTCTCCCACCTTTGTATCGATTTTTGACCAGCCCTGTAATTGGAAATGTATAATTTTATCCTGAGGCAAAGGCAGGCGGAGGGGCAGAGAGTGGGATCCAGTCAGATGTGGGCAGGCTTCTAGCCACACGGCCAAGCTGCACCCTGGGGGGTGGAGCCCGTACCCCACTCACTTCTCTCCACACCTGACACCTGTTCCTCTCAGGCTCCAAAGCCTGAGTCATGCGCGGGTTGCTGATAACGAGGACACCCTAATGATCTCATGTCCGCTAGCCTTTTGGGATGACTCTTATAGCATTCAATTAAAATAAATACGGCTTCAACCTATGTGATACAGGAAGTCGCAACCCTCCTCCAATACTTTAGGAATTCGGAGGAAAGATATTTTCCCTTTTATCCAGTAGTCACCTGTCATACTCAATTCCAGACTCACCTCCTCCATCCCTTCTCATCTCACTTGCCCTAAGCACTTGGGCACCAGCTTGTATATTGCCCATCTCCTGGGCTCTCCAAAGATGCTAAACTAGAGCAGGGCTAGGTTAGGTTAGTTAAGTTAATTAAAGCAGATTTTATTGCAGTTTGGAGGGCAAGAATTTCATTTGCTTTGCTCACCTCTGAATCTCATGTGCCAAACCACCACCTGAGTCATCATAGGGGCTTAAAAATAATTATTGACTTGGAGGAGTCAAATTCATAAAGACACAACACAGAATGGTGATGACCAGGGCCTGGGGAATGTGGAGTTATGGTTTAGGGGAGGCAGAGTTTCAGTCTGGGGAGATGAAAAGGTTCTAGAGATGGATGGCAGCGATGGGTGTGTAACAAGGTGAATGTTCTTAATACCGCTGACTGTACAGCTAAGGATGGCTAAGATGGGAGATTTTATGTTATGTATACTTTACCACAATAAAAAAATTGAATGAAGTAATGATATTATGGCAGCGGGGGGGGGGGGGGGGGGGGGGGGGGGGGGGAGGGGGGGGGGGGGGGGGGGGGGGGGGGGGGGGGGGGGGGGGGGGGGGGGGGGGAGAGGGGGGGGGGGGGGGGGGGGGGGGGGGGGGGGGTGGCGCTTAGAATAAAAAACCACCTAAAACTGAACATCTGACCTCAGGTTCCTAAATTCCCCAACTCATAGGGAGGCTGGTCCAGAGTTCTCCAAAGTGAATGCTCCAAATTTATCCTTAACACAACCCAACTGGGGAGAGGAAAAAAATATCAGAATTTCTAGGTGTATATTTTATTTCATTCTTTAATTGTTTTTTAATTTGGCTATAGATTTAAGTATACAGACTGTAGAACAGTACTGACGGCCAAGTATATAACTTATAAATAAACAGGCTTACACTGAAGGAACACTAGGGAAAACTCTGCACTCCCAGGTTGCATGGTCAACGCTGGCACGTGCCCTTCTCCTCCTCCTCTGCTGTCACTCCACCCTTCAGTTTTCTCGTCTGTAAAGTAAGGACTGTGAATCAGATGCTCCCAAAGGGCTTAGCCGTCTCTACTCCCCGGTTTTCTACCCAAGTGCCGCCTTCCAAGTGGAAGTCACTCTCAGCGACAATGCAGTTATGTGTCAGAGCTGGGGGCACGTTATCTCTGCTGCTCCAGCTTCAGGGAGACTTTAGGGATGCAGCCTGACTGACTTCTCAGTCACAGACAAACTGCCAACCCCTCCTTTAGGACATTAAAAGCCGCAGACCAGTCAGGGCCCTTCCACCATTCAAAGTAGGCATCATGAAAGGTGCCCTTTGAGGGACAGAAAAACAAATCTACGTCAAGTTTCCATCAAGGTCTTGTTCCTACGGAGTATGGGTCTAGCAGGAAATGTGTGTTTTTGAAGACTTAGCCCAGTGCTGGCTTTGCAGCCAGACAGTCCTGGACATTAGTCCCTTGTCCCTCCATGCATTTCTTAAGTGACTTCAGGCAAGTTGCTTAATCATTCTGAGTCTCAAATTCCTGTTCTGATGATCCAAGAAAATAACACACGTATCTTGTGGGGCTATTGGGAAACTAAAAAGATGAGTGTAAAGTGAGACCGCAATAAAATATAACCATGATCACTGCTATTATGTCCTGTTTCCCCATATGTGAAGTAAGAGATTAAGTCAGAATTACAGATTTTTTAATAGCTAGCTGCTGGAACTTGGGGCAAGGCAAGGGGTTCTAGGTAGTTCTTCCTCCAAGATGCCTCTTTTTGCTAACGCTGCTTTTCTCAGATTTAACTATTTTATTTCATTTGAAGGAAGGATGTTGCAGATTTTAAAAAGTGCTTTAAAAATACTGAGACTAGGGGGCACCTGGGTGACTCAGTTGGTTAAGTGTCTGACTTTGGCTCAGACAATGATCTCACAGTTTGTGAGTTTGAGTCTGGTGTTGGGCTCGCTGCTGTCAGTGCAGAGCCCGCTTTGGATGCTCTGTCTCCTTCTCTCTGTCTCCTTCTCTCTTTGTCCCTCTCCCGCTCATGCTCTTTCTCTCAAAAATAATTAAACATTAAAAAAAATACTGGGACTAGAGCATCACATGATTTTTAATCATACGATTCTAACTGAAATATAGTAAGACAACTGAATCCCAATCAATGGGGGTGGGGGAGCCACATCTCGCCTGACAGAGAAAGTGAGATGGCTTGGCCCAGAATTCCAGACCCCAATCTTCCCAAATCTCCTTCACCCGGCTGTGGAAGGACTAGTTCTCTGTTAAAGCAACCTCCAGGATGAGCTGCTCACCTCCTAGACAGGTGGTTAAACACCTCCTCCATGGAATATCTCACACTGCCATCTCTGCCTATGACTGCTCATTTCCTAACTTCTCACATTCAAGGAGGGGAGGAAGGGACAGAGAGCTAGTTATTAAGAAATACTTCTGAGTATACTTAGGTCTGCCGTCTCTCACATCTTTTTAATTCCATTTCGGCCTTGGGCACAGATTTAAAACAAAGCTATACTGGAGGTGGTCTTCAAAAGCAACAGCTGATGATTAATGCTCTTACTGTTCTTTGAGGCCATGGGTGACCTTTGCACTGTCCTCCATGAGGTGTCTGCTAATCTCAATTCAGAACCTGGTGGAAATAGCATGGTCTGGAAGTGTAGAGCAGATCTAGTTCTCCTTCATTTGTTGGCTTAAAAACCTTGGGCAAATAACGTGCATTCTTAAGCTTTGGTTTCCACATCTGAGAAATGAAGGTAACTAATGCTCTCCTTGACCACCTCACAGGACCTTTGTAAAGATCTCATGAAAGAATGGAGGCAAGAAGGGGTGCCTGGGTGGCTCTGTCAGTTGAGTATCTGACTTTGGCTTAGGTCATGATCTCATGGTTCATGAGTTCGAGCCTGGTGTCGGGCTCTGTGCTAACAGCTCAGAGCCTTGAGCCTGCTCAGATTCAGCATCTCTGTCTCTCTCTTCCCCTCCCCCACTCACACGCTGTCTCTCTCTCTCTCAAAAATAAATGTTAAAAAAAAAAATTTAAAGAATGGAGGCAAGAAATATGTAGAACCAGACAGATACAGGGCACATGTTTGGCTCAGTCAGTTTAAGCATCTGACTTTTGATATCAGCTCAGGTCATGATCTCATGGTTTGTGAGATCAAGCCCCATGTCAGGCTTTGTGCTGACACCATGGAGTCCACTTGGGATTCTCTCTCCTTCTCTCTCTCTGCCCCTCCCCTACTTGCACACATGCTTTAAAAAAAAAAAAACATTAAAAAAAAAAAAAAAAAAAAAAAAGGAAAAGAAAAGAACCAGACAGAAAGGAAGCTCCAAGATGCTAGAGATCATCTGAGTCTATCCCTTGCTGAAATGGTCCAGGTTGGCTGGGAGGGGCCACATTTGATGCACCTGCGGGTTTCTAGGCATGAAGTCATCTGGAGGAAGCAAGGTCAAGGGGGTTGCAGGCTACCATGTGATTGGTCCTCCTATCTGATCTCAGCAGTTCACTTTCACACTGCACAGGTTAGGATGAAAGTGTCCTGGCTGAGATTCCATCCAGATACTACTGGTTCTTCCATGATTAAACAGATAGTGCATTTTACTCCCACAGCCTCTTGAAGTCAGAGCTGGCCTTTGGCTCAGTGGGGCTCAAGACAAGACAGGGTGGAGTCCCTCCTCCGCCTCCTCCCGCCGCTCCCTCTCAGCCCCTGCAGAAAACCGGGATGAGGTATCCAGAGATTCAGCCTCTTGTTTTGGAAACCTCCAGGATGTGGAAAGCCAAAGAAAGCCAAGAGGAGAGGGCTAATGACACAGACCAGGGAGCGTATGTGGTTAAAACAGCTTGGTAAGTAAATGATTTAGGAAGTGAAACAAGGTAACTGCAAGCTCAGTGCAAAGTATGTTTGGAGACTAATCCTGTTGTCCTGGATTGGGACCCAGGAAATCTGGCTCTGCCGTTTACTCTGGGTGGCCTTGGGCAAGTCACCTCACAGCTCAGGTTTCTAGAAGTCTGTATATTAATGGGGTTGGACTACAGTCTCCATTCTCAGATGGGTACATTTAACCCCTGCTTACTTAGCTGTGAGAAGCTACAAGTCACTCATCTTCCCAGAATGCCAGTTTTACTTGCAGATTAGGAGGGACAGCTTTTTTTTTTTTTTTTTTTAACAGCTTAATGAGATAAAATTCACGTCCCATACAATCCACCCATTTCAAGCATACAATTCAATGGCTTTTAATATATTTACAGATTGTACAACAATCACACAATTAATTTGAAATCTTTCTGTCACCCCCCCCAAACAAACTCTGCACCCCTTAGCCATCCCTGTCACGGCCCCCAGCTCTCACTGCCCTGGCAACAGCTAATCTACTGTCTGTCTCTATGGATTTGCTGGTTCTGGGCATTTCAAATAAATGGAATCATCCAATATGTGATCTTGGGAGGATAATTTTTATATTAAAACAAACAGCTATGTTATGAAAAGCATGCAAAAAATACATTAATTTTTAAATCACAAAAGATATTTCAAAGAAATTTCCCATGTGTCTGGCAGCTTCATGCTAAAGAGTGCAGGCCTCTTTCAGGGACAGTGATTCATATTGCTCTGCCCCAGGGCCACTTTGTGAAAATTCTGGGGAGCACTGTGCTGAATGATCTTTTATCCCCATGGCAGCCCCAGCCTTGGGAGGATGCCGAGGCTCACCACGATAGACCTACGGAGAGACGGCTTTCCAGAAGGAACTGTCAGTGACCTTCTGTTATCATTTTTCTCCTTCATCCCTACCACAGGTTTACCTTCAGACCAACTGAAAAAAATAATAAGATGACACCAATATTGCAGCTTTCCATATAGAAGAATAACAGGTTGGGATGTCCACCCTGCCCACTTCTACCATTCCCCTAGCTTTGGGGAGAAGCATCTTGATCTGTTTTATTCCCTGAAGCCTCTTCAGTGCCTAGTGCAAATGACATGGAATGTCAGAGGAGCTCAATAAATATTCGCTGGAAGAAAGAAGTGAATGAAAGAACGAAGGAAGAAGAGAGGGATGGGAGGAGAGGAGAAAGAAAGGAGGGAGGGAGGGAGGAAAGGGGAGAGGCAGGTCGTTAGTACAATCACACGTGGAGGTGAGGCTGTAAGAAGCACTCGTTGTTAGCGTTAGGAAGGTTGGTTTGTCTTCCAGATTTTACACTATGAAGGAACTGACTCTGCCCTTTCAGTTTCACCAAATAGGAAAGAAAAAAAAAGTCATCATGGGTAAAGAAAGGAAATAGGAAGATGAGACAGAAGGGAGTCAAGGGTGTCCCATAGAAAAGGACTCTGAAGGGTGACTTGGGGGGAAAAGTAGACAAGAAGAAGCATCTTGTGTACCCCACTCAGGATTGTATAATAGGAAGAATTTTTTTCCAGTATAAAGTCCTCACCCAACATGGGTGATAAAATATCCCCAGGATCCTACCTTACAAATGTGGCCAAAAAAGCAGCTCAGGGCTATTTCAACACAAAGAACCAATCACTTGCCAGAAACAGTGGTAAAGAAACATTCAAGCGTAGAACCCAAGGGCCACCAAGGCCAGAGGCAAAGGGGCAGCAAACTTGTTCTGTGGATTTAGCCTGTTCTGGCTGCCTAGACCCCCGGGTGCCTTGACCCAAAGGCTCTGAAGACAAGAAATGAATAAAATAGGTTTTTAAGCCACATGAAATCTATTAATTTAGACACAAGGATTACCATTCTGATCTCTGAACTGATGCAAACCAGGGAACAGAAACATAAAGCCCACTTCTTTCCTTTTGTTTTGTTCAGCTTTTGCTAAGGTAAGCTGCATAACAAATATCCCCCAAATCTGAGTCTTACAACCGCAACAGGAAAAGGTTGATTTCTTGCTCATGTTTCACATCTTCTATGGGTTAAGTATAGCTTTTGTTTTATTCCAGAACCAAGGACAAAGCTGTAGCCCATCTCTGGGGCAAGCTGGTCTGGTAGCAGAGAAGATAAAGCAAGAAAACCGGTGGAGACATGTGCTGGCTCAGAAGTGGTATATGCCACTTTGACTTGCATTCATTGGCCAGTGTCAGTCGTATGCCCAAGCCAATGTCAATAAGGTGGAGAAAAACAATCCCCTCACAGAAAAAGCAACAAATAATTACAAAGTATGGTCTACCACACTTTCCCAAACATTGCCAGAAAGACTAGGCTGTGCTTCTTGAAGGCAAAAATTGAGACTCTTCTCTTGCACCCCCATTGCCCAGCACAGAATCTGGCTATAGTGGAGTACTCAATAATGAAAGGATGGTGCCCACATGTTCAGGTACAGAATAAGGACAGTGACTTTATCAAGACTAGAAGTCAGATATCCTGGTATCAGCCTGCTATCTTCCTATCATTACACCATGCTGAATTGTAGTCACCTAAAGGGCTTTGACCTTTTCAGAAATCATGAGAGCCCCAAATCAAGAACAAAACCAACTGTCAACTAAGCAATTTGAAGATGAAGGGGGGGTGAATATTAAACAAGGAAGCACAGAACTTTTGCATACATTGTCTCATTTGGCCTTCCCAGAAACCCTGTGAGAAAGCCAGAGCAGGAACTATTTAGGCTGTTTTTGGTTTGGGGATTTTGTTTGTTTATTTGTTTGTTAGTTTTAGGGTTTGGTTTTGTTTTTCATCAAAAACAGCACTTAGGTAGAATGCAGTGGTTTAGAACACAGGCTCTACAATTACACAGCCTGGGTTTAGTCCTGGCTCTGCCCCTTGCTTTGCTAGCTATATGAACTTGGGGATGGGCTCATCCAGAACCCTGAAGTTGCTTGACCTTGATTATGCCCATGAACATAGGCAACTGCATGGTATTGCTGGGACAGGATGGATCCCACAGGGAATCCAGGCAGCTGATGCCTATAGGTGGGCCATGCTTGTGCTCCAGTGGAGGGCAGCTCTCCCTTTCTACTGGGCATGAAAGGAGTTTTGGAGAGTGAGGGAAAAGTCATGCTGGGGTACCAGGAAGTCTTAGCATAAACACGGGCTGTTCAAGGAGGTGCTGGGAATGCCAGTGCCCAGGAACTGAAGGGAGTGACCAAGATAAGACCACGCACAGCTCCTCTCACCTCCCAGAGACCCTGTTGCCAGGCAACTTGAGGGTTATCCATTGAATAGTTCATCTTGTCTCTACATCCTCTCTACCCTTTAGTTTCCTCATCTGTAAAATGGGTGCAATAGCATCTCCCAGAGAGGACTGGGATGAGGTTAAAATGGGAAGTGCCTGTAGTCTTTTGCCCAGAATCTGGCGTGCCATCGGCTAGGAGCGCTGGGGCTGGCACCTTGATCTAGGTTGCCTGTGGGCTCATCCAGACCCCCCGAAGTCACACAAGGCTGCCCCCCTAAGCCCACTGCGCTGTTGGCTCCATGCAGCTGACCTCAGGGGAACTCTGTGACTTACCTGTGGGTGTCCCAAGGTTCCTGCTGCCCTAGGACAGCGAGGGCAATGAATTTACCAGAGAGGCATGGAGAACCTTTACTGTTTCCTCACACGTTTCTCACTCCTTCCCCAGGTCCAGGAGTTAAAAGAAATTTTCCTTAAAAAGTAAATGTGCAAATTAGGCTTTCATGATAGGCATCTACTCCAGCAAAGATTCCTGGGTGCTGCCTTGGTCCCCAGGATACCAGAGGGCATTCACCCATGGGAAAAGAGCTGCCAGTGTGTGCTCACCAGGAGGGTGTTTACCAGAGCCAGTGGTGCCCAGCCATGGCCTTGGCACCGAGTCAGCTCGGTGCCCTTGACAGGAAAGAGTCACAGCAGCCCGCCCTCCCTAACGCCCTGATCGTGTGCTGTGTTCTGTTCGGGCTGCCCTGGGAAACATGGGGGACTGCAGAGTGCTTGTCCCACCTACTCTTACCAAACCTTCAAAGTGGCCTGGCTTACCTTCTTGCTGCCAATAGAACCCAACAGCCAGGGTGGAAGTTGTGAGGTGTCCAGTGGCACAGGTAATGCCAAATATGCAGGACTGCACTGTGCTTCTGGGGGCCCCTTCTTCATAAAAAAAGGATTTTTTAATGTTTATTTTTGAGAGAGAGAGAGAGAGAGACGGGGAGACAGAGTGTGAGGGGAGAGGATCAGAGACAGGGGGAGGCAGAATCCAAGGCAGGATGTGGGCTCTGAGTACAGAGCCTGACATGGGGCTAGAACTCATGAACCGTGAGATCGTGACTTGATGCTTAACCGATTGAGCTACCTAAGCACCCCATAAAACTGAAAAAAAATTAAATTTTATGACTGCAATCCAAACTGGATTTATAGGTTACACATTATATATTTATTATTGTTATTGTTATTATTTCTTCTGATTTTGAAAGAAATTAAGACATTTTTGTGGCCCCAGGTCCTGTGTGTGTGTTACCTAGTGGAGAAGTTGACCCTGAAACCAGGACAACTGGAGAGTCTGGTGATGCCCGCGGCCCAGTGCCCATTCTCCTTACGCTGGGCCAACCATCCCTTGCCACCCCGGCTGTTAAGTTAGCTGAATGAAAGAACCCTATGTGCTAAAATAAGAAACTAGACACAGGCTCTTTTTAACAAAAACAGAAACCACACTGCATGGATAATACCAAGAGAAATGAAAGAAGAAAGTAGGTTTAAACAAAGTGTTTTAGGGGCACCTGGGTGGCTCAGTTGGGTAAGTGTCCAACTCAGTTTTGGCTCAGGTCCTGATCTCACACTTGGTGGGTTCAAGCATTGCATCAGGCTCTGTGCTGACAGCTCGGAGCCTGCTTGGGATTCTTTCTCCTTCTCCCTCTGCCCCTCCTGCTAGCTTCTCTCTCTCTCTCTCTCTCCCTCTCCCTCTCTCAAAAATAAATAAATAAACATTAAACAAAGTGTTTTAAATCTATTGGTAGCCTTACGATGCACGTGTGCGTGCACACACACACACACACACACGCACACCTAATTGGTGAGCCCCCAGTGTTTGACATTTGTTTTCAGCTAGAAAATGAGTTTTGTTTGAAAAGGGGACATTTGGGGAGAGATATCTGCTTCCATCTTATCTGGAGAACAAAGTCCCTCTGCGGCCTCTCCTAAGAGTGCTCCCCACAGACCAAAGCTTCCTTAGTCATTTCAACACCAGCTGACTCCCCCTTCCTGGCCCTGGCGAGGGGATGGCCCCGCCTGCCACAGTGCTTGCTTAGAAGGGCTTCCCGAATGTTGGTGCAACAAGGCGCATGTGCTGTGAGGTAGCACCCACACCTGAGTGCTGAAGCCAGGCTATGGGTAGAGAGGGGAGGCTCCATCAGGGTGCAGGATGGGGAGGGGCTCCCTGGCTGGGGCAGGGACAGTGGGAGCAAAGCCAGAGGCCAGAACCTGCCTGGGGAGTGCTGAGGATCTGTGCAGGGGCGGTGGCACCCTGAGAGGCCTGGGAGGCCCGTGAGGAGAGGTGGGAAGGGGTGCTGGGGCTTGGGCGGAGAACTTTACCAGGCTGGGCCTTCATTCTGCAGGGATGGGGAACCAGGGAGGCAGGACTGGCTGCATAGTTCACAGCACCCAGTGCAAAATGAAAACGCGGGGCCCCCTGTTCAGAAAGGGTTCAGAATTTGAAGACTGTAGCAAGAGAGCATTAAGCCAAGTGCAGGTCTTGAGCAGGGGCCCCGCACAACCGGCCAGGCCACACACCTGCAAACTAGGCCCTGGGTGTGGTTTGGGGGAGGAATCCAGCCCCAAGAGATTTCCAGTCTCGGCCAGGAAAGGTTTTGTATTTGTACTGTCTTTGTATTATTGCTATGTTCCTTTTTCTTCAAATACAGGATTTAAAAATATCTATTTTAGGGGCACCTGGCTCAGTCATTTAAGCATCCAACTTCGGCTCAGATCATGATCTCACAGTTCATGCGTTCAAACCCGACCATGGGCTCTGTGCTGACAGCTCAGAGCCTGGAGCCTGCTTCGGATTCTGGGTCTCCCTCTCTGCCCCTGCCCTGCTTGCCCTCTGTCCCCCTCTCTCTCAAAAATAAACATTAAAAAATAAAGAAATAAAATAAAAATGTATATTTTAATCTTTTATGGGATATTGACAATGTTTTTTAATGTTTTATACCATTAACTATACAAATTATTCTATTAATAGAAACTTATTTCAGAGACAACTTTTCCAGAATTTCTCTTCTCCAACAGTAAGGCCTACTGTGGAGGCCTAAGGAAATTCCTGAGCCTTCCCCACTATGGCTGGCATGCAGCTAAGTCCCTGCCAGGGTCAGAGGCCACTACTGCCTTGATAACCACAGTGACAACAGAGGTTTAAGTTGTGGCAACAGTGGGATTTTGAAACTCTCCCTCTACATAGTTTACAGATAAGTCAGGCAAAATCATTCTGAAACTCCCTAAGAATTTCTCTCACTATGTCCCTAGTAGAAGGCAGAGTTGCAGAAGAAGAAAGTGCATCTTAAAAGAGTAGGTGAGGACCCTTCTTTTTGGGAGCACTCCCACCTCCCATTTGCCCTTTGCTCTGGGCTTGTCCGGTTCTGTGTGGCCCCAGGGGATCTGTGGAGTTCCATCAGGATCAGGGTCAGGCTCCACAGCCACAGGAGGGCCAAGGCCATGAAGGAGTCTCCCCTTCTCCACCCAGGAGCCCTGCAGGGAGCGGGCTCTGTTCGCTGCAGCACCACCGAGAGAGCCAGGCTCCCTCCAGGTGGAGCATGGAAGGCGGCAGCCTTGCATTGATGTGATTTCTTTAGCTCTTATTTCTCTAGTGTTTCAATTCCTTCCTAGAATGTGAGGAAGTGTCCCCAGCAGACAGCACATTGCATCCTGAAGCAAAGGTTTGCAGAGAGTGGGAGCCTGCGCTTCCTCCCTAGTCTCACAGAGGGTGTAACTTAACCCCACTACACCTGACTTCCCTCATCTATAAAATGGGTACAGTAATAATCTGTTGCCAGGAGTCACAGCTGTGCCATAAGTATGAAATGGGAAGATGGACATGAAGCACAACAGTGAGAGTCTAATAAACATTGTCTAAGTGTTAGGATTTCTGCCTGGTTCCCTAAAGCAAATACCCTCAACCTGGAAGGTTCATAGCAGTCAAGTGGTTAGAAGTGGTCTGGGCGGAAGGCTGACTTTTCATAGAATTACTGTTTTTAGCCGTCCCCCCCATAACCCCAATGGAATGCCTGCCCAGTAGCCCAGTGAACCCACTGCCCTGGATTTTATCCGTGGGCTTTGGCCTCTAGTCATGGCCCTGGACAGGAATTCTTCTGAGTTTATCTACACCACTCACTGCTCCATGCCGGCTGCATGCTGGCAAATATCTTTAGTTGCCATAACAATTCAGCTGCTCTCAAAAACACTGCTTCAAGTTTTCACATCCCTAATCCATACGTTACATGTTTAAACTGTCAACAGAATATCTATTAGCACATACAAGTGGATTTCCCCCCTTCTCCTGGAGAGAATGAATGAGGAAGAGAATTATCTAAATTATTATTTAAGGATCTCTTGGTCCTGTGCAGGCTGAAAGGTGAGACTCTGTTCCCCCTTCCACAGT